CCCAAACTGAAAGCCCTAAACCCTAAACCTTCAACCCTAAACTGTATGCTGCAAACTCAAACACCAACCTCTACCTGAACCTTTCTCCTCAAAACTTCGGCCCTGAACCCTATTAAACACCAATGCCTCTTTGAAAGCCATGTAGACTCGATTACGACTCCTAACCCCCTTTAAACCCTCCAAGCCCAATTACACCGCAAGAACAAAGGGCTCATCACCCTGAAACCTCGAAGGTCTATATATTTTTGGCCTTGCGATTCGGAGGAGACTTGGTTAGCTGTTGGATGGCAGAAAGGGTTCTAAAATCCCACACCCTAAACCCTAAACCCCAACAGGTACTCCCCGCCCCACGTGCTGCAGACCTGCGGCAAATGGAGCCCTCTGCAAGGTCCTGCTTGAGCTTGAGAGCTCAGCTTTGGGGCGACCTTTGGGGTTTAGGGGTTAGGGTTTCGGATTTAGGGTTTAGGGTTTCGGGTTTAGGGTTTTGGCTAGATAGTACATCATTGCTGTACCCTAATGGTCCATGTACTCATAAAGTACATACTTGGCCTTAAAGTACAGCAGTCCCTATATAGGTACTTTGAGGCCAAAGAACCTACTATACTTCGACCCTGAGGGGTAGAAACGAACTATGTGCTGTAGTAGGTACTAGTATGTAACTAGTTACATTGACCTTATGTCTGTATTCTTGAGATGTAATATCATTTTCAATCATTAAAATGTCTGTGCGTGCATTCCTGTGCTGTTTCGTTCTGATACTCTATCGTGCTTGTATTCGTAAGGAACATCACGAATCACTTCGCGTCAAGATGTTCTCGAGGAGTCGAGCGAGATCTGCCAATCCGCGTTCAGTATCTAATGACTAACTTGTGCAGACTTTGCGGCCTATCTGCATTAACGATGAGAATAAAATGTGGTAGTCTTGCACAACTTGTGACTTCTGCTGAGCTATGTTTGTGTCCCCTCTTTGCTGTTTTTGTTTGCTCGTTTCCTTCTGCAGCTGATCGATCAATTCCTATGTTCGTGGTGACCTGGTGTTTCCGAGATTACTGTGACGACACTGTAAGGGCATCACCTGACTATAAAGAAGTGATCATGTCCCACACAGAGTCCCTGTAGACTTCTGCTTCAATACCTAGACCCTAAACCCTAAAGCCTAGACCCTAAGACCCTAAACCCCTGGGTTTAGCGTAGGGGTTTAGGGTTTAGGGGTTTAGGGTTTAGGGGTTGAGGGTTTAGGGTTTAGGGGTTTGGGGTTTAGGGTTTAGGGGTTTGGTTTAGGCTTCACCTCTGGGGTTTAAGGTTTGGGTTTAAGGTTCAGATCCCAAATAGCCTGCTTTTTGCAGGACGTATAATTGATACCGCCTGTTTCTGGCTGCATAGCCTGTGGAGCCACGAGCGGCTGTCTGCAGTGATTACCCGTTTGGCACATCTATAGATACTGTTGATGATATAAATCCTGCATTACCTTAAGTTATTAAGGACCCTAAACTATGGAAATTATCGTATATCCCTTATTGTGGGTAATGCAGGATTTATATCATCAACCGTAGTTCCATGTAGGATCCTTCTAGCACGATGGTACGCTGGCTGGGCTTCCTGTTGATCTTCGTGGGAGCCGGGCTACGGCCCAAGAATCGTGTCGACTGGCCGTGGGAGGAGCATCACGTCAGCTCAAGCGATGAGGTTCAGGGTCTCCTGACCGCTATGCTGGCAGAGACCACAGCTGAGGCCAGCAAGAGAGAGGCCGGCGATGTCGCGGCCCAGGAGCGGATGCTCAGAGAGGTGGTTGCCAAAATCACGCAGGACTGGCGGAGCACCGGTGCAAGCACTTGCCATCAGCAGCTCGGGAGGGTGATTCACAACTTCAGTGTAGCATGCGAACGCTTGCGGCCGAAAGCCGACTGGCTTCTCGACTACTACGTCCCGGTCCTTCCGAACAAGACCTGTGCCGGGAGCATCAGCGACATCTTCGCACTCGGAGACGAGCTGGTCGAGACCCTCCATGTCTCCAGAGATGCGATAGCCTCTTTGGATGTTGACGACAAGACGCTTCGTCGATATCAAGCGCTCTCCTTTCTCAGAAGCTGGTTAGTGAATCTCACCCGGACTGACGGTCATGCGCTACTTTGGGCAGGCTTCTGGGATGGTGATCCCCAGAATCGCACTACACAGGCGAAGCTCTCCAACTTTGCCAGAGCAACGGAACACTCGACGATGCACCCGAACACCTTCCTAGGCCAGGCTATTGAGGCGAGCCAGGACCTGGATGCCTGCTACAAGCAGGCCACGACCAACACACTCGCCGAAAACATGTGGTCCATCGCAAGCATGAGCTTCGTGCTTGGGATGCGTGAAAGGGCACAGGGAACCGTCATTGCATTGGTCAACAAGGCGATGACTGGTGAGCGAAGCCTGTCACAGTCCGTGCTATTCACCCATGAAATCCCAACGGTGGGGCTTGCAGCCTGGGGTCTCGGGTTCTGGTCTCCGAAAGCGATCCTTCTGGACCTCATGGGCACCTGCGACAAGACAAGCCCAGCGTTGCAGAAGCAGCTTTTCGCACGCCTGCCCTCTTGGGCGAAGTCCATGAGACACTGGAGCCCCGCAGCCTTCGCACAGAGGTCACGGCTCCAGTGGCAGTGCATCGACTGCTCGGGTGCTTGCAGCCTGGACCAGGCCTTGGCGGAGCATGTGGAGCAGCTGGTCAAGGCCGCTGCGCTGTTTGGGCGAAGGGCCTGGAACTGGTATAGTTTATTCCCCCCTTGCCGTTTAAACCCCATATACTGCGGTGAAAGGTTAAAACCTGTAGGTATAATGACATGGGACTATATTCTGTTAATCTTCCTATTCCTCAGTGCGGTGTCCTAAACCCTTCCCTAGGCAGGTCGCAGACCCTGCCGCTGCAGCGTGCAGTCCCTTGACCCTGCGTTCTTGCGGCTCTGCCCTTGCAGCCTAGCGTCCCTACGGCTCTTGCAGTCGCAATTCCCCGGGTGCCTGCAGTGGCTGAAATTCTTGCAGTCCTGAGAGAGCTTCTGGGAAGGGGAGCGTTTCACAAAGAAACGTCATCCACATTAGTCGATCTCCCCACCCTAAACCCCAAACCCTAAACCCTAAACCCTAAACCCTAAACCCTAAACCCCAAACCCTAAACCCCTAAAAAAAAAAGTCCTAAAACCAAAAAAATCATCCCCGCAGATCAGGCCAAGGAGTCGCAGGACCTGAAGGACAAGGAGCTACGACAGGCCGAGCCTGGCAGGAGGTAACTGTCCAAAACCCCTCCTAAAGTCAGGGCCGAAATAATTTCAAAAATGGGTTTAGGGGTTTAGGGTTTAGGGGTTTCGGATTTACGGTTTAGGATTTCGGGGTTTAGGGTTTAATGTAATGTAGGGACCTAAATAATTACCAATACTATTCGGTGGTTTCCTTGCTATAGCTGTAGTAGAATGGGCCCAAAACCCTATTCTCATTATTAAGGCCCCCGTATTACCCATAGGCCCCTAAGTAGTTCCTTTTTGGGATTGCCTTATAGGGTTCTAAATATAAACCACAAAAAGCAACTACTTAGGGGGCCTATGGGTAAACCCTAAACCCGCTGTGGAAACCCTGACCTCACAGTATCCATGAAAGCAAGCCTGAACCCTAAACTCCCGGCAAGCCCTAGATGCTAAATCCTAGTAGCCTCGCCAAATTTCCCTGCCAGGTCGCGAGCCCTCACCTGGCAGTCACAGAAAAGGCAGGGCTCAACTGCTGGGAGGAACAGAGGGCCGCCCACAAGCTGATGGGGTGGCTGTGGAACAATCCGGAGACCCGGACAAGGGCCCACGAGCTGAAGAACTTTTATTATGCTCTGCACCTGAAGCACATGGCAAACATACGCAGGGAAGCGGAGAATGGGGTTCGGAAGCTCGACGGCCCAGCCAGGCTGCATCGGGTGGAGCAGCTCCTCCAGAAGAATGCTGATCCTAACGCTCCGGACAGGCACGGCAACACAGCCCTCATTTGCGCTGCAATCGAAGGACACCTGGAATTGGTTGAGCCCTTGCTGAAGGCAAGGGCCCAGCTGGAGTCCCGCAATGCGAAAGGCACCACAGCCGTTATGCATGCTGCAGCCAACGGCCATCTGGAGATGATCGAGACGCTTCGAAAGGCCGGAGCCCAGCTAGAGGCCCGCCACAGCGAGAATGGTTTCACGCCCCTCATGTTCGCTGCAAACAAAGGCAACTTGAATGTGGCCGAGACATTGCTGCAGGCCAGGGTGCAGCCACAGGCCCGCAGTGATAATGGTTTCACAGCTCTCATGTTCGCTGCAAACAAAGGCCACGTGAAGGTGGCCGAGGCATTGGTGAAGGCCAGAGCCCAGCTGGAGGCCCGAGATGACGACGGGAACGCAGCCCTCACCCATGCTACAAAGGCAGGCCACGCAGAGGTGGTCTGGGCCTTAGTGAAAGCCGGAGCCCGGGCTTCGCGATGAGCATGGCGAAACCCAGGCACAAGAACCTACTGCAGGGACCTGATTGTAGTTACCAACTTTAACTATCTAGGCTTCCTTATGATACTTATGAATACTTATACTATATGTAGGTGCGGTTACGTATCGCGACCCAGTGGGGCGCTGGAGAGAGTGGTACGTAGCAGACGTCCGCGTAGATCGAAGCTGAAACAGAGTATGCACATTGGAGCGGTTCCCAGCCTGCCATGTTGGCTTGGAAGGCAAGGACTTGGAGCACTAATCTCTCTACAGCTCCAGGAGTAAAAAGGCGGCAAAACGGAGCCGCACCGAGTTCGGAAGTGTTGGCCCCCCCTCTCCATTCCGTCACCCCTTGTTGACACGTTCCTCTAAACCCTCAAACTCTGAAGCGCAAGCCCTAAGCCTTGTAGAATCGTAACCTTTCGCTTTCTGTGTCTGCGCCGCTCTCGCGGCACCTGGCTTGAGTCGAGGTGAGCTTTATAGGGCGTAGGTTTTAAGTTTTAGCAGGGTTCAGGGTTTTGGATTTAGCCTCAATTTTGGGAGCTCCTTGTTTTCATTATAGAACGGGCCCCAAAACCCTATTCTAAGTACATTTAGGGTCGACGGTTTATAAGGAGCACGTGTTGACGAAGTGGAAAGGCTTGAAACTCTAAACCCCTAAACCCTAAACTCCTAAACCCTAAACCCTAAACCCCTAAACCCTAAACCCTAAACCCTAAACCCTAAACCCTAAACCCCTAAACATCGCTTGCGGCCACGCCGTAGCTGCGCTTCTGGGAGGCCAGCTCCTTTTTACTTGCGACTCGCTCAGAAAGACTCATCATGCCCTGGACCCGTACGGTTTAGGGTTAAGGGTTTAGGGTTTTAGGGTTTAGGGTTTAGGGTTTAGGGTTTAGGGTTTAGGGCTACCAAAACCTACTTTTTTGTAGGGTCCCTGTAAATTCTATGTTGGGGCTTAGAATAGAAACCTAGTACAACATGGCCCATGTCCTGCAAACCACATTATAGAGGGTCACCTAATGCATGTGTTGATCTGTGGTGTACAGATAGACAGATCAACTAATGCAAACGTGTGTCCGCACGCTCCACGGCGCACATGTGCGCACGAATCTCGATCTTGCTCGTTTCCTTTTTCTGTACATGTTTTGACAGGCAGGTGCACCAAGACACAGACACATGAGCATACACACAGACATGCAACCTCTCTCTCGTTCCAGCTCTCTCACCCTGGTTATGTGGCAGTCTGCAGTATTCGCATTAGTATTAATGCGAGTACTGTTAGTATCCTTATTAGTATTATTCATTATTCGTATCAGTAAAAATACTAGGACTAGTACTGTTAGCATCATTATTATTAGTATTATTATTAGTATTAGCATTGGTACTATAATGTTTGGAGCGGCTAGGAAGTGAGTGCCACACACGTTGGCGGCCCTGGGCGGTGGCCGGCATCACCTCTTCAGGCTTGTTTTTGATTGGAGGGTCTAGGGTTTAGGGGTTATAGGCTTTAGGCTTAAGAATCATGAGACAGGCTCTGAATTGAGGCTTTACAGGTACAAGATGGAGATTTCCTGTGTAGGTATCGTGGAGAATGGATACGAGATCTTTAACTTTGCTGTGTTGGTAGATGTTGAATGTTCAGGGCTGATTCATATCCTTCAGCTTCAGCAGTGGGACGTCGGTCTAGGACCTTTTCTTCCAGGCTTTGACTGATTTGGAGCCGATGTCAGGCAGGATGAACATGATGAAACTGTACAGAGTAATGGCAGCAATCATATCAACGCTGTAGCTTCTGAATTTCATGCGGTTATCGTCGTCGTCCAGACAGCGGCAATAAGTAATTGTCTTCAGCCGAAGCGTCAGGGGGCATCTCCGGCAGCGCTGAGTGGCAGCGTTACTGGACAAAGGCCTGCGTCACCCTCGGAGAACCATGGAGGGAGAATGGGGTTTGGGAAATTCGGCGTTTGGTTGTGCACAAGACAAGTTTAGCTGCCAATGCAGAGAAGAGAAAAGTAGCCATCCGGCTCAAGGGAAGACTAAACAAGCTTGGCGCAGTACGACCGGCTTTGTGGAAATGGATACATCATCGTCGGAACCCTCGAGTCCGGTTCCATCAAGTCCTGGAAGTCCGGGAACATCGAAAAGTCCTGCTGCTTGTAGTGTCATTGACAATTTCGCATCCATTGTGGAGGCTCTTCCGAATCCTTTGTTTGCCAGTGGGGTGGCAGAGACCCCGTGTTTGTCAACAGCGATGGGGGTCTTGTCATTGCCTCAAGATCTTGCAGAACTGAAGGCTTTGTGCAAGCAAGCCCCATTTGGTCGGGGATCTGAGACAGTGGTTGACCAGACGATCAGGCGAACCATGGAGACTCAAAATGTGGACGTCCGTTGGGCTGATCTTAAGCCTGTCTTGTCCAAAATCCGTGCAGAGCTCTGCCCAGAGGTTGATTTGGTTGCCAAGTTATACAAGGTCTTGTTGTATGAGCCAGGCGATTTCTTCCAGCCCCATGTAGATAGCAAGGTTGGCGATGATCACATCCTGAGCCTTGTGGTGGACTGTGGGGCGGGCGACTGCAAAGGTGGAGAGCTTTGCTTTCCCAAGCGAGCTTCCCAGTGGCGCGAGCTGGAGAAAATCGGGCGAGACAGAACCTGGCTCTCCGAATCTGGATCGTGGTGTTGCTTTTTTTCCTCCGAGCTTCACTGTGTGAAGGAGGTCACTGCAGGGCATCGCGTCATGGCGACTTTCAACGTTTTTGGCAGCCCAGCCCAGACTGAGAACTCCGAGACGTCTTTCCCCAGGAGTTCCACGCAGAACTGCTTCTTGTCGGTGCCACGGCATGCGCAGCAGCAGGTGGTTTTGAGAAGCGGCACGGGCAGCGTGTATTGCTGCAGCTGCACATGCTCGTTTCAGCGTGACTTATTGGGCGGCCCTGCCCAGATTCTGCAACTTTGGCTCGGTGAATTCAAGGAGCGCCTGCAAGCAGAAATGGGGGACAAAGACTTGCTTGGTATACCGTTCCACAACATGTACAGTTTCGACAGCTCAGGCGTCCTGAGGCCTCATCATTTGAGGGGGAGGGATTGGTTCCTCTACAAAGCATTGGTGGCTTTGGGATGGCACTGCCGCTTGGTAGAGTGCGCCGTGAGTTGCGAAAACGGCAGGCATTGCAAGGGGCTTTCAAGAGCTCGTATCGGCCAGGACATGACTGATCATCCTGATCGCGATGACTTTCCAGGATTCTGCACATTCAGTAAAGAGATCGAGGTCCCCGAAAGTTTTCAAGCTTTGGCAGGGGCAAATACCTTGAGCTGTGAGGAACGGAGTTTCTTGACAGACACCAACGGGGAGCTAGACGTGTGGGAGACAGACCCGGGTGAGCAACCCCTCATTGTTTGGCCATTCCGGGGCGTCAGGTGGGCAGTTTCTCGGGCCTATTTTGCCAAACGCCTGCTCGGAGAGTCTAAGGCCTGCTCCAGGTCTGGAATACTCTGCGGCAATGGCGCACAGTTCCGTGTCTATTATTATCGACGCGCAGCCTTACTCTGTGAGATGAAACCCTGCGACAGCACTCATGTTCGCAGATTTGACCCTGATTTCTATGCATCTTCGTACCGTTTGTAAGACTCCCCATGCAGATCCTTCGCCGAAGGCGTGACGGAGCATGCTGGACGTGGTGTTCATCCTCCTGTTGGTCCAATACAGAAAGATGTATAAAGTTGTCTGTGTGGTGAGTCCAAAATGGCCGCTGGCCGCGACATGATACAGCCTGGACCCCCGATCATAAGGTCTTTAGTCTGCCATGGGACAGAACCCAACCCGGTTTAGGGTTTAGGGTGTAAGGTTTAGGGTTTAGGGTTTAAGGTTTAAGGTTTAGGGTTTAGGGTTTAGGGTAACCCGAACCCAGCTGATCCCAACCCAGACACGCGGATTCTAGGGTTTAGGGTGTAGGGTTTCAGAACCCCACAAGCCTTTCTACCAGAGACCCCGAAGCCCCGACGCGGAACAGGGCCAAGACAGCCGACCTCCAGCCCGACACGTGCAAGGACTCGTGGGAACCAGATGACCATGCCATGATGCAGACTGAGCATGGACAGCAACAACAACATAAAATTCGCAACTAGATCATAAGTATATCAACGCGGACTCGATATAAGGAGATATGATACCACAAGAATATTGAAGCGACTAGAAGGGGACATTATTATCAATGTGATCTTGCTGAGATGGACCGGGCCGGGCTTCCAAGCCTGAGACTGGCCTCGGCCAGTGGCCACCTCCAGAGGTCTGCCGGGAGGGCTGCAGTTTGGGGTTGAGGTTTTTAAGGGGTTTCGGGGTTTAGGGGTTTAGGGCTTAGGGGTTTAGGGTTTAGGATTTAGGGTTCAGGGGTTTAGGGGTTTGGGGGTTTACAGGGTTTATAGGGTTTAAGGCTAAGGGGCTTTACCGGCTCAGGGTTCAGGGCTTATGAGGTTTCAGGCTTGGGGTTTACCGGTTTAAGGATTAGGGTTTAGGGTTTAGGGTTTACCGGTTTAAGGGTTAGGGTTTTGGGGTGATTGAAGAGCTGTTCTCCGGGTCTGCTGCCTCAAGCAGAAAGATTGTCGGCTGCCTTTTTCAAGTGCTGTGGGGAGTGCGAGGGTGTTGCATGCTCGACTAGCTAAGTTCCCTGACGTCTTGGCGCTGGGGGGGGGGGTAGACCATGGGGTGGGGAGGGGTGGCCTGGCAGCGCTGCACCATATATGCCCAGTGCGTTGCTACACCGCACTCGGTTTCCGAATGCATGCATCGAGCCGAACATCACAATGCAGAGATCTCACACTTTGACCCTAAACCCTAAACCCTTGGGGCACAGTGCTTACAAAACAACAACTTGAGGGCTGAAACCACCAGGTTTCAGAGTTTCTTAGCTTCTGCTTCCGGCTCCCCAAACCCTCCAAACCTTATTCTTCTATTAGGGTTTAGGGTTTAGGGTTTAGGTAGACTCCGACCCTAAACCCTAAACCGCATGCACCGCAAGCCTCCAACCCTTAGTTTTCTGGACTGAAGCCCTTGACCAAACCCTAAACCCTAAACCCTAAACCCACCCCTTAGGAGGCTCTGGGGCATTCGCCCCCGGCCGACAAATGTCGCTCAAGCTCTCCCCAGGCCGCGAGCTGCGATGCGTTGTAGTAAAGGTTCGGGGGTTTAGGGTTTAGGGTTTAGGGTTTAGGGTTGTGGTTCAGGGGTTGTAGGTTGATGTTTGGTTCTGGGATGATCAGCCAAAGTGGCTACAGTGGATACATGGGCAAGTTCTGACTCGGATGTTGCTGCAAGGGGCCTCGTTGAACACCAGTCACCAGCAGCTGCACTTGCAAGATTATGTGGACGATGCCGGCTGCTTCCTCGCACTAGCAGTGCCATCATGTATTAGCAATGTTGATGAGAGCAAAGCGACATGAATAACATTGCCAAAGATTTTGTTGCTATGATAACATGCCAGAACAACAGACCCATATTGTTGCGATTCGCCATTCGACATGTCTAGGAGCGCCTAGCATTGAATACACACAACTGAGCAAGGAAGCCGACAGCTAGACACACGTGGGACACCAGCATGCACCGTGATGCTTGCACTCATCCCTTACAATGCATATACTTCAATGCAGTATCCCCCTTCGCATACATGCACGAGGCATGCAGTATCTACACAGCCCTGCATGCATCTACAGCTTGCGGGTTTTCTTACCTTCGAAACCTCTACGTGCGCTACGCGAGCCGTACATCCCTAACCTTGAGCCTCCAGACTCTAAGCCCGAAGCCCTACTTAACCCAGGGCGCTGAGCATTCTGCAGATTCGTAATGCCCTTAAGCCACTGAGAGCGTCAACCCCAAAGCCGCAACTCCCTAAATCCCCGAACAGAGGACTTGTCGAGCCCAAAACCTTCACTGCTTCCTTAAGTCTCGGAGATAAACCTGCCCCTTGAAAAGGCGGATGATGGGGCGGAACCTCGACAAAGAGGCGGCCATCTTGGCCTTGCTTACGGGCTGAGACACCGGTGAGAAAAAGAGAGGCGCAGAGTGCAACGTGTAAGCCCTAAGCCCGAGATCATCCGAGATCCTTAGCCCAGCCCTAAGCCCTAAACCCTATCCCAGGACCCCAACCCACATCCGAGAACCTTGCACCTATAGTCTTCATGGTGGTGCCTGTTGATGCCCACCTTGTCGTTTATCATCGGAGAGTGTAGGTTAGACCCGAAGGCTGCAAGTGAACCCTGACATGCTGCGCGGCTTAGGGTTCAGGGTTTAGGGTTTAGGGTTTAGGGGTGTCGAGAGACAACTCACGAACTTCGCTGTCGCACGCTGCCCCTCTAAGCAAAGACCCCTAAAAAGCGCCAAACCCGAAACCCTAGGCCTTTGCAAGCCGGTAACCCTAACCTTTTTGCCCGACATGGTGAACAAAAATTGCCTCGAAGTTGGGCCCAATGCTTCGAGAACCCATCGGGGTAGAGGTTGCGGGGCTGCAAGCTTTCTGAACGTCCTAGAATCCCAGAAACCTTTGTTCAAGGTTTAGGGTTCGTGGTTTTTAGGATGTACGATTCATCGCTTGCTGTCTCCTAGTATAGGTTTTTTTTTCAGATCCTGTTAATGCACTCAACGCGGTCGTTACTAGCCTGAAGCCGGGCTCTGTCTGGGGCATTGCACTCAGCCCTCAAACCCTTCAGAAGCACGTACCCATAGGCCCCTAAGTAGTTCCTTTTTATGGTTCCTATAAGGTAATCCCAACAAGGAACTACTTAGGGGCCTACGGGTAGACCCAACAGATAAGGGACATTTGTGTAAAAACCCTTCGCGATGCACCGGCCGCCAACCGAGGGCCATCACATGAGGCAGCGCTTGGATGCTTCGTTTTGGTTTAAGGAGTATGAGGTTCCCGGGTCCTTGTTGTATACAAGTTTACATTTTTTGTTATAATAACACCCTAACAAGGGTCAAACATGTTCAATTTGAAGATAGCCCCAACAGGAAGCCAGGCTCGTGTCCCTTTTTTCATGTACGCTCCCCTACACCCGGGACAGGAAACCCCGAGGGAAGGGTTCCAGCTGGGTTCAGGGTTTCAGGCTGAATAAGGTTGACGCTTGAAGGTATCGGGCTTCTGATAACTGGGCCCTTGTTGGATGCAATTTTACATGTTCGTTATAATACAGCCCTGATAAGGATTAAACATGATCAGTTTTAATATGGCCCCCACCGGGAGCCAGAAAAGGCATTGAGGTGCTTTGGCGGTTCTGCAAGGGGTTTTTTGTTGTTTAGTGCCCTAAACCGTAAACCCTCAACTCCAAGCCCTTAACCACAAGTCATCGGGCCCCGGGGCTTTGGGGTGAACAAGGGGCGCAGGGTTTTTCGAGGGTTTTTGGCGTCTTGGGATTTCAGGTTGATGTTGGGTGTAATATGGGGGCCTAATTAATTACCGATACACTTCAACACACTTTGGGGATTCCGCATTTTAACAGTAGAACATGGGTTTGAGAGCAAACAGGGTTGCATAAGGTTTTTGTAGGAGTTTCATGGGGGTTCCGAAGACGTGTTTGATAAGGGTTCCGCAGCGACCCTAATTTGAAGCTGCACTGCTCCAACATTCTGGCTTAAGATGTCGGGGCCGAAGGATTGGGACAGGTTTAGGTTGCAGGAGCAGCGCAATGTCGTCTCCAGGTTGCTACAACGACTTATATCAGAGGGCACTTTTCGTGATACTATTCTGTAGGCCTCGCTAACATCTCTACTAAAGCAGCCCAACACCCTATTCTACTTCCCGAGGTGCCCATGTTAGCAGTGTATTTACAACCCAATGATGATGATACTTGCAGGTTCTTGTACTTCCAGGGCGAAGCAGCGACTTGTAAGCCCGAATACGTTTCGATATCTCTCTTGGCCCCTTCCATCCTTCCTTCCTTCCTTCCTTCCTTCCTTCCTTCCTTCCCTCCGTCCTTCCTTCCTTCCTTCCTTCCTTCCCTCCTTCCTTCCTTCCTTCCTTCCTTCCTTCCTTCCTTCCTTCCTTCCTTCCTTCCTTCCCTCCCTCCTTCCTGCCTTCCCTCCTTCCTTCCCCTTCCTTCCTTTCCTTCCTTTCCTTCCTTCCTTCCTTCCTTCCTTCCTTCCTTCCTTCCTTCCCCTTCCTTCCCCTT